GCTGGTTGGTTGGTTTATTTTTTTGGGTTGGTTTTTTTTGTTTGTTGATTTTTCTTTTTTTAGAGGGTGTTTGCTGGTCGTGTTGATGTCCTGGGGTGTGACCCAAGAGGCGAGCCAGGGACAGATCTGACGTGAGCCATGTGACACCTGGGCCCAGGATTAGGCGGGATTTCGAGAGTGTCGATGGTGCAGTTACCTGGTATCCGGCCTCTAGATTCTTACATCTGTTCATTGGGGTTTTTATTTGGCGGGTGGGCAGGGGGGGGGGGGGAGGTTAGTTATAGGGGATTTTTTTCTCTCTTTTTTACGGGGCTGGAATACGGGTCCTTTCCGTTTGTTTCTTGTTGTTTTGTTTGAGGTTAGTTTCATTTTTTATTTTGGCGAAGGTTGGTTTTCTATGCTCATATTTATCTTATTTTTGTTTTATTGAAATATTCATTCTGTACTTTCTTAAATTGCTTTGTCATTTTTCATGTTTAATCATTATAAGTCTGTTTATATTTGGTTTGCTTCATTGTCGTCATGAAGTATTTATGTGTGGGTGTGTGTGGGTGGGTGTGGGTGGGGGAGGTGAAGGGGGTGGCTTTTCACTCTGTAATTTTGATTTAGGTTGACGATTTTTTCCTTGTTCCTTTCCTTTTTTTCGGGTTGCTTTTGGGCTGTAAATGCTAGCAATGTTTGGGTTGCTTTTGGCTATTGTGATTTGTCTTGCCTTAAGACTTTGGGCATAAGGGGGGGAGAAGGTGCCTTGTTTTGTTTTGTTTTTGTTGTGCTGTTTGGGGGGATGAAGTTGTATTCTTCCAAGTGTCCCATTACCTGCTCGGCGATGAGCATTAATACCAGTGGCAGGATTCTCGGGGCGGAGATTTGCGCGTCGCAATAAACACTCCAAGGGTGATATCTCTGACACGACTTTTGTTTCCAATACATAAGCCAGCACACTCGCAGAGCTGCTGATCTGTCATGAGTCGGAATCGAACCGCAGAGCCTAACGTGATTTAACAGCAGATATATTATCCATTGTTGTCAGATATTGTCAGCCTTAAGTCGGTGGGCGATATCACTTAAGCTAATGATATACATGTCAACACAAAGCTCATCCTCCCCCATGTATGCGCACTGCTCATTAGAACAGAAGATGGCAGTGGCATAATGTAGCCCATATTCTAGTGGGGGTATTCTCTATTTGACTTGAAATCGGAACATGAAACTCAGCTGTTGAATATAACTGCCAAAAAGCAGAGAAGTCACGCATTCCCATAACACCTCCTGGGGTCTTAAAAAGACATTTTTTAAACCTCAGATCCGACATCTGTGCAATCGTTCTTTTTCTTCAACAATCTACAAAATACATCCGCTTAACTGTTGTCGGAGGTTTCCCAAACACTTCGGAGCGTTTGTTAGCAAAGCAACTATCAGAACTCTAAATGAATACCAGTAATACTTTTAGGAAGTTTCCTAAACACTTTCAAATGTTTGTTTGCAAAGCAACTTTCAGAACTCTAAATGATTACTTGCTTCTGCACGGCCAACATAATCACGCCCTTAACTGTATTAGGATTTCTTGACAATTTGAAAGTCTAAATGTAGACGACGAAGGTTAACGTACAACTTGCTGTAAAAAGCTCAGAGGTAACTCGTGTGAACTGTTAGTCTTTTCTACCGCTCTCGAAGCTCAGAGGTAACCCATGTGAACTGTTAGACTTTTCTACCGCTCTCGAAGCTCAGGGGTAACCCGTGTGAGTATGTTCTACCTCTCTAGAAGCTCAGAGATAACCCGTGTGAGTGTGTGACTTTTCTAGCTCTCTCGAAGCTCAGAGGTAACCCGTGTGAACTATGAGCCTATTCTCCAAGCTCACCCCTTCGTCCTCTCAACTCCGCCGCCGGAATTTCCTTCTTTACGTGAGCGGAAGTCTCGGGAGATAGACGTGATGACGTGTCACCAGTGCTGCATTGTGGGGCGCCGGCATCAGCCGTAAACTGACGGGGTATCGCATGGCGTCCGGCGGCTCGCGTTGTCATAGAAACAGGAAAAACGACAGAGAGTAGTAACAGTTTGATTTGACCCCCCCCCCCCCCACCCCACACACACACACTGTTTTTGCAGACTCAGTTGAGGGTATTTAAGAGGCATTGTCTGAGACTTTGGTCTAACTTCAATAACAGCAAGCCGGTTTGGTCAGAGGGCAATTAAGTTACTTGAAGAAAAACAAAGTGCAAAAATGTCCCATTCTGGATTGGAAGCAGTGTGACAGATACTAAATTCCCACTTGAGAACAACAAAGCTAATAGAGCACCCAGACAATAGAAACAATGAAGGAAGTTTTACTTTAGAGGTTACTTTTTCTACTTATTACAGCTGCGGAAATTCGACTAACGGACAGACAGCTCAGAGTGTTCCCGTGCGGTTGACTCATATATAAACATATACAGTTCGGAAAAATTGAATAATTTTGAATGGGAGGGTGCAATGGCAGAACGGTTAGTGCGTTTGTCTCCGAAGCGGAAAGTCCGGGTTCGAGCCTCGGTTCGGACACGGATTTTTTTCGCCCCCTCCTGCCCAACCAGCAGTAATGGGTACCTGACTTCGAGTTGGGGAAGTATAGGCGTGGTGGAAAGGAACTGACCACCTTACCACAATATGCCGAAGGCCCAGGAAGTTGTCTCACTAACAAGGCAATCCCCCAATGTCCGGATCGGATGCGGGAACAACTTTACTTTACTTTTTACCTCTTCTGTCGTTTCCCCCATCTCTATGACTGGCATGCCAACACCGCAGATCCCGTGTTTCGATAGACGAGCGCCACTCACAACAAAGGAACAGCCTACACCTCTCCGTGGTGAGCAGTCTCAGGATCGCTCCCCACGAGTGTTTAGAGTTGCTCATGTCATCGAGTCTACGCCCCACAGGGGGGCAAGATCTTCTATCGCCCCGATGTCGTCATCACGGATTGTTCAAGATAGACATTGGCGGAAAGATATCTTCCTTTCGCTTTTTAGTCAAAAACGAGTTTTGATTTAGTAAGGTTTTACGGCGCTCACAACTACATAAGGTTATATGGGCGCTAAGGGGTGGATGTTAACAGAGAAGTCTAAACGGGAATCAAGCTTACTCTTCTAAACCTCTCTAGCATCAAAAGCACAAAGTCTGCTTCGACGATCAAGGCACCCCGGAAATAACAGTTTACAAGCGAGAGACAATCATACAAAAGTTGTAGAGGAAAAGTGACGATGATAAGGATGAGGAAGGAAAAAGCAGCAGTTCCCCCTATGTTGTTCCAGTACAGTATGAGAATGGCATTAATAAATCAACCCATTTTCAATTCTACTGTGCATAAGAACATACTAAAAATCAAAAACGAGTTCTTCATAGACCATGTACTGCAGTTAATTAAATTTTGGCTTTGATGTTTGACAACACCAGGTTTAAATTGGTCGCTTTTAAGCACAAGGGGGCTATCCCGAAAAATACTGTTTAGAGAAAACCGAAGGTAAGGTTTTTGCCACTTGTTCAGTTTCTTTAAAAGACAAGGACAGTTTTCTCTATAACTAAACAAATATACACACCAATGAAACCAAACTTCTCCTATAGGTAGGGCAATGCCCACTTTTGGTGTGGGTCAAGATTTCTGGAAACCCCTGAAATCTAGGTTAGCCCGCTTGTCCTTAAGGGCGACCATTTTGCTTTGCGGATCTTGCTGCTATGGGAACGTTCATTTTAAGTTCAACATGATATAACGGTGACGGCAACTCAGGTAAAGTTTCGTCCTAGATGAGTACAGTTCGACCAAGTACTGCTGAGTACACAAAGGTTATCCCGCACACAGTGGGGGGCAGTTTGCTACCAACGTGACGTCACAATCAACGTTGACATTTTAGGTTCAAATCACTGGAAGATCAGAATTATTTTTTTCTTGTCCTTACTAATAGTTTTTTTTTGTTCTTTTTTTTACCCTGCTCATTTCTATCAACTGGCGCTTTTGTTTTTGTTTTTTTGTTTTGTTTTTTAGTAGAGGTTTTACGTCGTTCGCAACTGCATAATAAGGTCATATGACCGCCAGAAAATTAGAGTCATTACAAGAGAGTAACAAACTTAAAAAAGAAGAAGGGGAGATAAGGACGATAGATGTTTGATAGGAAGGAAGAAGCAAACCACCCCAGAGCACCCGACAACCACCCACTGGCGCTTTTGTGTTTAGTAGAAACAACAACAACAACTACAAAATATGCAGCACTTTGGATTTTAAAATTAACTTTTAAAATTAGTGTAGACACCCTAGAGAAATGTGTTATCTATCTGTCTATCTATCTATTTACCTACCTATCTATCTATCTATCTGTCTATCTATCTATTTACCTACCTATCTATCTATCTATCTATCTATCTATCTATCTATCTATCTATCTATCTATCTATCTTTCTATCTATCTGTCTATCTATCTATCTATGAATCTATCTATCTATCTATGAATCTATCTATCTATCTATCTATCCATCTATCTATTTATATAACTATTTTTCTATCTATATATCTACTTACTAACAGAGTTCCCCGTCAACACAATGTTCAGTTGGATGACCATCGAAAGATACGAAAGGGTCAAGTGAAAAAAGGCTAAGTCACACTGATCCTAATATTTTTTCACTCTTCAACAAGCTTAATAAACTTTAGCTCATTCTGATCGTGACCTGCTTTTATTTCTAAAATTCAGTTTTAGAATGACAGTCAGTTTTGTCATTTAACTGACTTCATAAGGATGTTTGACTGGTACATAATTTGTACGATTTTTTTTTCCTTTAAAACACTGACTTATCCTGGGGTTTTTACTTCACTCCTGCATAATGACGTGTCTACCTGAGCGTCAAATTCCACCAAAAAGCAACAAACATACAAACATGCAAACAAACAAACAAATAAACAAACAACAAACAAACAAAAGAAAACAAATAAGCAAAAAAACAAAAATGGAAAAGTGAAAAATTGATAACGTACACTGACCTGTCGAACTCTGTGAGTCGACTGGAGTCTCTGAAACCCTTGGCGAACGGGTTACTGTCGATCTTCAGCTTAGTAATCTGAAACGTGGAGAACCAAAAGGATGAAAATGATTACAGCACGTAACACTGTGAGTTTTTTTCAAGTTTTAGTAAGAGTTTTACGGCACTTGCAACACAATAAGATCATATAAGTGCCGAAGATGAGAGGTGTTACAAGAGAGTAACGCAGAAAAGGAGAGATCAGGACAATCAACACTGTTTGTTATACGGTTTAGATCCAGAAGTATCAAGAGACAGGGAGAGAGAAGGGGGGAAGCGTAGGGGTTTTTGACTTGACCAAACACTCGGATCTGATCCAGGTTTCGATCAGAATGATTTACTTGAATAACTTGAGTTACTTGAATCTAGAACTGGGGTCTTGGGAAGACGGGATGCTCCATGCTTCCTCGCCCCTCTTCATGAGGGTCCATTTCAGTGTGGGCAGGCTGATTGTCTCGATCAGAATGTGATGTGGAAACGTTTTTCAGAATCTGTCTATGCTTTTTTTTAAGGTGGGGGGGGGGGCGGATGGGGTCGAAAGTGTGATTCATGTTGGTCTTAGTAGTGTTATAATTTCGTATTTCTTTTCAAACGAAGGTAGTAGGGTGATGACTGTATGAGGGGTCTGGATTACTTTGTGTCTTTTTGTTCTCTTGGCATTTAATGTTCTCTTGGCACTTCTACATATTAGTATTTGGAAAACCTTCCCCTCTCTGCATGTGATCTTCACCTGAACAGTATTTCGCATCGTCACTTCAGTAGGTGTGGGGGGTGGGGGGGCTTTATGAACAGCGGTGTAACATGTGGCTAAGTTTTTGTGTCTAAGTCTGTCTGATTTTATCCGACTTTTCCTCATTCCGGAAAGTTTGTCTCTACAGGCTCCTCTCCTTCCTCTTTCCCTTGCTACCTCTTTAGGCGATAATGCTGGGAGTATCGTCAAGGGAGGCCGGTGTATGTCCGGAGTGCAATGACGGTGTTGCCCAGGACAAGTAACAAGTAGCAAGTAATTAATAGCGGTGGGGATAGTACTGGGTTCAAATCCACACCCGGGCGTTCTTGAACTTGGGTTGTTTGTGAAGACATCATGACTCACCGGCCATTTGGTTTAGCACAGTCCAATCGGAAACGGTCGTTAAATCAGAGGTCGCGCCTCTTAAATAACGGAACAGTGTTGAAAGGGCGTTAAACCAATTCCAAGCCACACCACACAACGGCCAATCTGGCACAGACGCTGGCGTGGTCCTGGAATCAGCGGGAAACTATCAAGACGCACGTCTTCGCGTCGGCGAGAAAGCTACATGGGCGCAGACTGACATTTTCAACACTGCAGCACAATCAAAGCGCGCCATTTTCACGGACATGTTATCTCGCCGACATTTTCTGGTCCTTTTTGGAGAGCTCTCCATGTAGACAGGCCTGGACTTTCACACGAAGTCATCCCGGCAAATTGAGAAAAGACAAGATTCTCACGTCGTCCAATTTCCACAACCCACCCTCCCCCTTCCTTACCTCCACTCCCCTTT